GCCATCTAGCCCAATCCCTGCCAGAGACAGAGCTTTTACTGTATAATGAAGATAGAATGGTCTTGCTGGAACATTGAATCAAATGAAAGAATCCTTAAAAGCAAAAGAGCTTCTGATATTATTGAGCAAAATCCTCACTCCTACTTGTTTGGTCCGTTTGGGGTCATGTTTTGTTTTACTCTTGTTGGGTTTTACTGAGTTTCTTATTTGCAACCCTTACTATGTGGAACTTGTGCTAAGTGAATGAAATGTTAAATCATGATTTCTCAACTATCATGTTCTATAATTTTTAAGAAAAAAAGTTTAGACATCTTTATCACATTTTCAGGGTATCTACAGAGCTGTCACTAGAAGTATGGTTTAGATTTTGAGAGCTTGATTCTTCCTTCACACCAGAGTTAATCCATTGATTCAAGCTCTTCATGATTTGTACTGAGGAGTGGTCTGATGCCATTAAATGGGTGGTTGCCTGCAGGGCCGAATTAACGCATAGGCAACCTAGGCACATGCCTAGGGCCCTGAGCTGCAAGGGGACCCCAGTTCTTCGTTCTGGGGTGGCAGTGTGAATGGCCCCATCTGCCTCCATTCCCTTCCCATTTCTCCCCGTCCCCTCTGTGAGCCTCCCTGCCATGCTGGTTGCTTCCTAGCTCCAATCCCCGCTCCCCATGGGTGGCAGCATCAGTGTGGGGAGAAAAGGGGGTCTTGATTGACCCAGGGCCAATGAGTTTGTTTGCCTAGGGCCCTGGTTGCCTTACAGCTGCATGCACGTCTATATGCTGTGGGCCCCGGGTGGGGGGAGGGAAGGAAGCCAACATATTATATGGGTACTTTATGTTAGTCTTTCATCAGCCCCATGGGATGGAGGTCCGGGTGAGGGAGATCCCCTGCCGTCCATCAATGCTGACCTCGTGAAGGAACACCTTGAGAGGCTGGATAACTTCAAGTCAGCTGCCCCTGACCATCTACACCCCAGGGTACTCAAGGAGCTGGCGAGCATCATAGCCCAGCCCCTAGCACGGATCTTTGAGAACTCCTGGCGCTCTGGTGTAGTGCCCAAAGACTGGAAGAAGGTCAAAGTGGTGCCTATCTTCAAGAAAGGGAGGAAAGCGGATCCGGTAAATTACAGGCCCGTCAGCCTGACCTCTATCCTGGGGAAGGTCTTAGAAAAGTT